AATGATGTGATGAAAAGCAGGTGGCGCAGTGATAGAGCATGAAGGCTTGGGTAGGGGTCCTTTGGATAAAGGAAGATCAAAAGAGCTTAAAGGGAAGCTTCCCTGAGGCAGTTCCATTCAAGCAGAGACCTGATAAATATGAAGGAGCCAGGCTTGTGGCAGTCTGTCAGAACATTGTTGTGGCAGAGAGAACAGCCAAGTAAATCTTCTAGGAATACAAGGGAAAGAAGGTCATTCTAAACATTGGAGGCAGGAAGACCAATTAGGAGGCTAATGCAGTGGGTCCCTTGAGAGTGACACTGAGAGCCTGAGTGAAGGTGATCCGATGGAGAGAACAGGACTTGAGAACTACTCAGGAGACAGAAGTGACATAGTTTGTTGCCTAAAGGGATGAAAGTCAAGGCTCATATAGAATCTAAAATTCATTTTAAAAATATCTACTCTGCCTACCCTTCTAAGAAGGAAAAAATGTAGAGAGCAAGAGTGAGCAAGACAGATGTGGTCCTTACCAACATGGAATTTATAGTCTCTCCTAATAATTACACGGTTTGCAGATTATGAGTGAATTATGAAGTTGCAATGACTTGTTTGTATCATTATTATTGTTACTTGCTCTTAAAAGAGTCCTAACTTCTGCTACAACTATAATAATGGTTAACATTTATTGGGTATTTACTGTGTACCATGTGCTGTTGTAAGCACTTAACAATGATATATTCTCCACATAGTTATTGTTCTCATTATTCAGAGAGAATACCAGGGCAAGGAGTGATAAAGAGCGCTCAGTTTAAAAGTGCCACGAAGGAAGCCCACTAAATATGGTGAAAGCTGCCTGAAGAATCCAAAAAAGCTTTCCCTGAGGAAATGGCATTTTAACTGAGCATTATAGGCAACTCTAAGGATTTTGAGCTTGATTTATAGCCTAATAGACTGAGTAGGTGTTGGCACCTTTACCCAGTATTGAGAGAAAGAGAACAGGTTTCAGTTGTAAGTAGAGTCAGAAGAGAACATGTCATGAGCTCAGTTTTGAACACATTTGGGTCATCTAGGTGGAAATATGTAGTTTTATGTTTGAGTATGGAGTGCATAATCCCCATCATTGTGAATATCTTGACATACATTCTTTTGAATTTTCTCTTTTTGAATTGTTTATGTGTTTGCTGTTCTATTTTTCTTAAAATGCTCTATTTTTATTTGATACCTAGTGATTGTACATATTTATGAGGTGCAGTGTGACATTTCAATACATGTATACAATGTGTAGTGATTAGATCAGGGTGATTGTGTTTCTGTTACCTCAGACGTTTGTCATTTCTTTGTGTTGGGAACATTCAAAATCCTCTTAATACTGTTTTGAAATATGCAGTTAATTGTTAATTATCCTATTGTGCTCTGGATTATTAGAAGTTATTCTTCTAACTGCACCAAACATTCTAATGGACATAATTTTTTTTAAATAAAGTTTTAAAAATAATATATTGTGTGATTGTCTTTTTGGAGATTTCACAAATAATCTTTATAGCTCAACATTTTCTGTGAAATAGGAATTTTAGGAATTAGCTAGAGATAACCATTTGGTAACAATTGGCATCAGGATAGCAATTTTAGCCACATAAATGTTTCACTTATCCTACCTTATCAAGAAGGCTGTCTGAACAAAGTGTTAGATTTGAAAATTACATGGGTTCTTACCTCTTCCTGAAATGATTGTATGTATTTTTTTAACTGCTAAAAGTAGCACAAGACATTTGACACTTGTTGCTCCAGATCAGTTATATGTCTTGTCCCAATTAGGCCTCCATGTGCATGATAATGTATAGTGACATTTCTTAGTGTAACTCAAAGCAAATGACACAAGGTTGCCTTTATTTCCCTGGCCCCAGAATTATATTTAGTAGTTCATCTACCAACCCAGATGCCCATGGACCTTAATGAAAAAGTAACAGAAAGTAGCAGCCTAACATGTCACTTTTTTCAAACTACTGCTAAATTTGGGCAAAAGCCACTTATATACTTCATGGACCTACAGTGTGTACTTGTTAACTATGAGTTTAAATTGTTTTAAAAAATGTTAGTATGTGAACAGTAGATTTAGTGTCACTCCAAGGAAGGGGATCTGTTGAGTGGCAAGTGCTTGCCTGGAGGCTGGAGTGTGGATTGGTCCTTGGAATCTCTATTTCACTAGGTTTGGATCCAGGGGAAGTTCAACCTGTACTTAACAGAGTTTCCTACGTGATTCTGAAGAGTATCTAGGTTTGGTAACAGTGATCTGGAAAACCTTTTTAGTCTCCTAGCAGTAAACTGAAGATAATCATCTATCATGTTGTTGGTTTAATTAAGAGAAAATTAAATTAAATTTATGAAAAACTGGCATATTTTCAGCATTCATGGGAAGTTGAGTAGGAGGATTGCTTGAGTCCAGGAGTTCAAGATCCACCTGGGCAATGTAGTGAGACCCAAAAAAGAATTGAGTCTCAAAAAGAAAAGAAAGAGAAAAACTAATATAATTAGAACTTTGAAAAAACGAGTTACAGGGAGCTGTTTAAAATAACTTTTAATAACTCCCAGAGTGTTCTGAATCTAATATTTTTAAGTGAAAAAACCCAGGGTATCTAAATACTTGTCCCAAATTTTTTGTTTGTTTATTTATTTTTGTTGTCATTTTGTGATGTTGGAAATTGAACCCAGTGGCACTCTATAACTGAGCTATATTCCCAGCCATTTTAATTTTTATTTTGAAACAGGGTCTCACTAAATTGCCTAGGCTGGCCTTGAACTTGTGATTCTCTTGCCTTAGCCTTCTGAGTAGCTGGGATTACAGGCACATGCCACCACGTCTGGCTCAGTTTATTTTTTAAAAATCCATATATTTTCATAGAAGAATAAAATGTAATATACAAAAATACTAATAGTAGCTATACTCTTGGAAACACAGGGTTATATTTCTTGTTCTGCATTTTCTGTAATCAGCATGGATTGTCATTAAAATCAGTGAATGCTTTTCAATAATTCAAACATTAAAAATCTTATACAATTAAAACTGTACAACCTCATTAAGACTAAACCAGATGAGTGATTCTCAGAGAGGTTATACCACCTTCATCAAGGAAAGCCAGTCTGGATTCCTACTGGTTTTCCCCCAACTCCAGAAGGATTCCTACCATAAGGAGGTACTGAAATGATGGGAGGAAGTGTCTCATATCTGTCAGGTATTTGGGGGTGCAGAAAAAGTAGGTCAAGACCCATTGCACAAGTGGTAGCATTATAGAGTAAGAAAGAGCAGAGACCTTAGAAATCAGACAAACTTACTGAATCTCATGTCATCTCCTCCATCTTAGAGCATCTCTCCATTCAGAGCATATTTCCAAATCAATCTATCTTCCTTCTTTCCTTCCTTTCTACTTGGGAATTCAACCCAGGGATGCTTTACCATTGAGCTATATCCTAGCATTTTTTTTTTTTTAAAGACAGGATCTCATTAGGTTGAGAGGATTAAGGGAAATACTTTCTGTAGTGTCTAGAGCAGTGTTGCATAATAAACCCAAATCAAGTGGTAGCACCTTTTCCCTTTTACTTCTCTAGTAGAAAATTCTGGAAAATTTGTCTGGGTACAGCATACATGCCTGTGATCCCAGCACCTCTGGCAGCTAAAGCAGAAGGATTGCAAGTTCAAGGCCAGTTTCAGAAATTTAGTCAGATCCTCAACAACTTAATGAGACCCTGTTGTAAAAATAAAAAGACTAGGAATGTACTTAGTGGTGAAGTGCCCCTGAGTTCTACCCCAGTACAAAGAAAATGAATGAATGAATGAATCAATCAATCAATCAATCTGGAAAAATTAAATATGAAAGTGGTTATCCATGGGTCCATCTAACAGTCAATCAAGTATTCTGTAGTTTCAGGATGTTTCTTTCTAGTTTTTTTGAGGGGAAGGGTTTTGAACCTAAGGGCACTTTACCACTGAGCTACATCCCCTAGCCCCCTTTTTTATTTTGAGACAGGGTGTCACTAAGTTGCTGAGACTGGCCTTGAATTTGGAATTCTCCTCCCTCAGCCTCCCTTGTCACTGGGATTACAGATGTCTGTCACTCTGCCCAGCTTCTATTCTTTTAATGATTATATTCATGGAGTGCCTGGTATTTTAGACATGTTTACCCCTTCTTAGTACAATATCCAAAAGCAGTCTACTTTGTTTTATAATCTCCTTGACTAGTGTCTCCAGGGGTGGCATAAAAGTTAATCAGATAATTTGGCCTAATTTATTTAACTTTTCTTCTAAGAATAGGTCTTTAGGTTGTCTCCAGATCTTCACTATTGTAATGCAGTTGAACAACTGACTACATAAATATTTTTCATTATTATTCTTAGAAAAGTTGCTATGGCTTGACTAAGAGCTTCAGGTCCAAGAATTATTAATTTAGTAAATGGTTCCAGTACCACTAATAGTATTTACTGATATGGAATGACCTCCAAGTTATATTGTTAAATGAAAAAGCATGGTGCAGTACGCTTTAAGGATGTGCTTTTTTTTTTTTTTTTTTTAAATATGGAACGCTTCACGAATTTGCGTGTCATCCTTGCACAGGGGCCATGCTAATCTTATCTGTATCGTTCCAGTTTTAGTATATGTGCTGCCAAAGCGAGCACATGGATGTGCTTTTAACACAGACTAGGTCTGAGAAAGTAGAAAAGAAACTGGCTCAGAGCCACTGCCTCTGAGAAAGAGAACTGGGGGGGGGTCGTACAGCACAGGGTAAGTTTGGAAGCCTTGCATCTCATTATGAACCCTCTTTTACTATCTGAATTTTTGGTCATGTACATGTTTTAACAATTTAAAATATCTTGCAAAATGAAAAAAATATATATATTTTTAGTTGTAGATGGACACAGTACCTTTATTTATCATTATGTGTTGCTGAGGATTGAACCCAGGGCCTCACATATGCCCGGCGAACGCTCTTATCACTGAGCCACAATCCCAGCCCTAGCTTGCAAATATTTTGATGTTCATAATTTAAATTATATATGTATTCAAATTATACAATTTTGGTAGGATTTTCCATTTTCAGAAAAGGTATAAGAGTAGTATAGAGAATTCTTGACTTCCCTTCACCCAGATTTCCCAAATATTAATATTTTAAAAATATTTTTGGGGGGCTAGGACTATAGCTCAGTGGCAGAGCACTTGTCTAACATGTGTAAGGCACTGGGTTCGATCTTCAGCACCACATAAAAAAATAAATAAAATAAAGGTATGCTGTTCATCTACAATTACAAAAAAAATTTTAAAAATAGTTTTTAAAGTACCACAAAAATATTTCTTTTGAAAGAATGGGCTTTAGCAGAGATAGGCCAGGAACTGTTAGGCCCATTTTGCATATGATGAAATAGAAACTCAAGAGAGATTTCTTTTTCCCTGAAGCAAGTTAGTAGCAGTGGTGGAGGTAGGCTAAACCCCAGGTCCTGTGACAACTTGGCTGCTGTTTATATCTGTGATGGTGATGGAAATCATACCCAATCCCAGTTTTTTTTTTAAAGAGAGAGGGAGAGAGAGAGAGAGAGAGAGAGAGAGAGAGAGAAAGAATTTTTAATATTTATTTTTTTAGTTATTGGCGGACACAACATCTTTGTTTGTATGTGGTGCTGAGGATCAAACCCGGGCCGCACTCATGCCAGGGGAGTGCGTTACTCTTGAGCAACATCCCCAGCCCCCAGTTTTGAATTGACAGATTTAACAGAATAGGATTGAAACCAGTTGAACTGGATTTCTCAGTTAAAGAGACTTCTTTTTTCTGAGGTTCATCCTTACCTCAGTCTGTTTTTGGAGTTCTGAAAATTCTGAGTAATGGTTGGCTCAGTCAGAGCAGTGACAAGATGTGAATAGTCCAGTCTTACATCTCAAACATTTGGGACCTGTTTCTCTTACCAGAACTGCTCCTGGAAGCCTCTAGGCCTCCTACAGCCAGAAGAGGTAGCCAGGAGCAATTTATAAGCACAATTCCTGTACTACCTCCAATTCCTTCTGAGGTAAACTATCTGTTGAGGGTTTATAAAGTTTTTAAAACTTTGGAGTTAAAATGGTACTATAAAATTGAACCTTCTTTTTTCCACTAGAGGGCATTATTTCCTCACATTGTTTTCATCTCTAAAAGTCAGAAATGATCCTTTTGTCATTATCTTAAAAGCTTTATTATAATCACAGTAGCAGTACCTGTCAATATAGAGTAATCAAAAATACTCATAAGCAAAAAGAAGAAAAATTAAATATCCCTTCTTTTTATATATTAAAACTATTAATGCAGATTTCAGAGATTACAGCTGCTGTAGTATGTTACAACAGCTAGTGTGTGCCCTTCCAGATTTTTTTCTAATGGCTCTTCATTAAGCTTAAAAAATAAATTTATTTATTTGTTGAAGTGTAACATGATATAGAGGAGGGTACAAATCTTAAGTGAATATTGATGAATTTCACAGAAGGAATATCGCCACCCAGATCAAGAAATAAAGCATTGAGGGGCTGGGGGTGTGGCTCAGTGGTAGAATGCTTACCTAGCACCTGTGAGGCACTGGGTTCGATCCCCAGCACCAGATAAACATAAATAAATAAAATAAAGGTTTATTATGTCCATGTATAACTTAAGTTTTTTTTTTAAAGAAAACATTTAATAAAATATCTTCAAAGACCTTTCTTGCTTCCTCATAGTCACTAGCCCCCTCTAAGATAATCACTATTTTGGCTTCTAACACTTTTTTTTTAAATTGAATAAATGTAATCATTCAGTACATGCTCTTGGTTTTGGCTCCTCCCCCTTCAATATTATGTTAGTTAAGATTTTGTCCATGTTATTGTGTGTTGTAATAGTTATAATTTATTTTCTTTGCTGTATTTTATTATATGAATTTGTTACAATCTTATATGCTAGGGATTATCCAACTTTCTATTAAAGGTTCAGATAGTAAATATTTTAGACTTTGTGAGCAAGGCAGTATCTGTCAGAACTTTCCAACTCCTCCATTGCAGCTCACAAGCAGCTACAGTATGTAAGTGAATGGACATGGCTATGTTCCAGTGAAACTTAATTTACAAAAAATACTTTCTGGGCTAGATTTGGCAATGATTGGCAAGTTCTGCTTTTCTTTTTTTTTCTCTTCTTTTCTTTTCTTTTTCAGTACTGGGGATTGAACCCAGGACCTTGCATATGCTAGGCAAATGTACACTGAGCTACACACCAGCCCCTTATTTTTTTAAATAAAGTAAAAATGGTATCATACTATGAGATTAAGTTTTTGAGATTTTATAAGTAGATGTTATAGCTCATCATTTCTCTGTGAAATAGGAATTCTAGGAAGTGAAATAACAGCTGGACACTCTTTTCTTCTTTATTTTAGTCTCTGGCAAATATAGATGAAGTTGTGAACAAAATTAGACTGAAAATAAGGTAAGTAATATCATACAATTGTCAATTAATGAAAAGTATGTTATTAATTTAGTTAATTACATTCCAAAAGTATACTTTTCTTTGAGAAGACTGAAATTTCAAATTAAAAAAAATAACGATTTTTGTTTTATCTGAATGTCCATGAAAACCCCATTTTTTTTTAAAGAGAGAGAGAGAGAATTTTAATATTTATTTTTTAGTTTTCGGCGGACACAACATCTTTGTTTGTATGTGGTGCTGAGGATCAAACCTGGGCCGCACACATGTCAGGCGAGCGCACTACCTCTTGAGCCACATCCCAGCTCCGAAAACCCCATTCTTGGACTGGGGATATTGCTCAGTTGATAGAGTGCTTGCCTCATCTGTACAAGGCCCTGGGTTTAATCCCCAGTACTACACACACACACACACACACACACAAATTAAAAAAAAAAAACAAAACTCATTCTTAGCCAGTCTTGAATTATTCATAAAAAATTAAGGAAGCTGTAACAGAGTTTGCTTTAAAAAAAAAGCATAATAGTTAATAATAAAAGTTAATTACAAAACTTCGTATTTAAATGTTTTATTATTTATTTATTTATTTATTTGTAGTACTGGGATTTGAACCCAGGGGCACTCTAGTTCACCACTGAGCTATACCCTGGCCCTTTATAAATTTTTTTTTTTTTTTTTTTTTAAATCTTGAGACAGGGTCTTGCTAAGTTCCCAGGCTGGCATTTAACTTGTGATCCTCCTGCCTCAGCCCCCGAGTTGCTGGAATTACAAATATGCATCACAGCTCCTGACTGTTTTTAGTGGTTTTATTTCTCTAGTAGGTTTTCCTTTTTCTGTATTCCCAAGGGTTAGATATGAACCTAGGCTTACATGTGATACACATGGTTGGTTGCCTACTAGCTAATAATGTCAGATTTGCTTGACCTGGGTGGTGGCATAGGATTAAACATTATGATTAACCCAAGATGTGATTGCTCAGAGTGGTCATTAGGTGTCCTTCCTGCTCAATAATCTTGTTCTGGCTTATCCGTGTCTGGGTTTACACATGGCAGGTACTTGATAAATGTGTGCTCATTGTATAAATAGATTGATTTCATTGCCTTAAATATAGTTTGGTTTTTGTGTCTGTTTTCAACTATTGAGGGAAAGGGTTCATCTTGAACCCAGGATATGAAATTTTTCTCTAGGACCTTTGGTATTTATGTGCAGGTCTCTGCCCCATGTGTGTGTTGTTGCATCCATATTTTAGGAATCACAAAGAGCTTCCTATTGTTTTGTTGGGCTTCAGCAGTAACATTCTAGTAGAGACCACTAAGTTGTCCAGGGTTTGCATGGAAAATGAAAATTCTCTGGTGATTCAAAGATCACTTATGGACTAGGTATTTTCTTTCTTCTTCTTCTTCTTCTTCTTCTTTTTTTTTGGTGCCCAGGATTGCACTCAACTACTGAGCCACATCCCCAGCCCTTTTTTGTATTTTATTTAGAGACAGGGTCTCACTGAATTGCTTAGTGCCTCACTAAGTTGCTGAGGCTGGCTTTGAACTTGAGATCCTTCTGCCTCAGCCTGTTGAACTGCAGAGGAAAGAGGAGCAGGAAGCCATCAATCTCTCTCATATACATTGCATGATGGGGTACATAGGGTAAGCACAGATTTCACATATCACCTTGGCTCCTTGACTCTTTGAAGGTCACCGAAGAAAGGATTTTGTGTGTGGTAATTTGTATTTTTCTGGCTTCTTCCTATACAGCTACTGCAACTTTATCATTCCTGATTTATTCCATGAAAAATAAAAAGGTTTTATTGGTTCTTTCAAGCAGCTCTGAAAAGTAAAAGTAGACATTTTTTTTTGTACCAGCGATTGAACCCAGGGGTACTTAACCACTGAGCCACATCCCAAGCCATTTTTTTTTTTTTAAGTTTTTATTTTGAGACAGGCTCTGGCTAAGTCCTCAGGGTCTTTCTACGTTACTGAGGGCTGTCCTTGAACTTGTGATTCCCCTGCCTCAGCCTCTTGAGTCACTGGCATTATAGAGACGCACCACTGTGCCTGGTCTAAAAATTGCCATGTTTTTTAAACAAAAAACTCATCGGTCTATGCTGGGGTTGGCTTTGCAGTATTGTTGCTGCCCCTTAGGTACAAGTCCTCATTTTTATTTCATTCACTCTTGTTTGATGTTCTGGATAAGTAGGTGCAATTTGTAGAAGCTGATGGATAAATTACCAAATTTTTTCTTATAGTTCACCTAAAGTAGAGATTTTTGAGTAATTTATATCCTTTAACTTTTTTTGCTAGGAGACTGGATGACAATATTCGAACAGTTGTAAGAGGTCAGACAAATGTTGGGCAGGATGGAAGGCAAGTAAGTAATTTATTCCTCCATATTAATTATACTCCCTTAGATGGGGTAGAGGGAGGGGAGGGGAGGG